AGCCAAGGCTTCATCATCAGATCTACACACAAGAGTTGATAACGCAATCTTTGCTGGAGATTGATAGCTAACCATCGTGGCCAGGTCGATTATATACATCAGCACAAGCACGAGGGGTGTCGCAGGATCTTAGGCTGCTTGAGAACAGAATCTCCGGAAATCATCACTTTCTTTAGACGGTTAGGTTGCGTCTGCTCGCGCTTTCTTGTCGACTCGGTTGATACAGATTGGTTAGTCCTCTGTGTTGTAACATCGGTAGGCCGGCACAAGGGTCTTCTGAAACTTCTATCATCGTTATTTGCGGTACGGTCTTCCTCAATTCTCCTATCCACTTGTGCTTCATTAATTTGCCGAAGGAGCTCAAAACTGTTTCGAGTCTCGGTGATATTAGAGCGCACTGACATCTGGCTACGTTTTGCATTTCCATTTTTGCCTCTCGACTCATCCACTTGGAGGGAACATTCACTTGACTTTGGCTGGTTGTTTTCGACTTCAATCTTTTCTTGCATAATGATGGGAATCATTCTCTTGTTCTAATGACAAAACGCGGCTCTCAAAGGTCAATGAATTTCTTCCAACTCTTTGATTGCATCGTCTTTTTTGGAAACAGAGGATAATAACGTTTCGCACCTCTTCTTGTAATCAAGGAGTTCGGTACAAGAAGTATTTTCGTCTTGATATACCGCCTCCCGGTTAGCTCAATTAGTTAGAGCGCTGGACTGTTGTGTGGGAGGTCGAGGTCGATGGATCGAGCCCCGGCCGGNATAACGCAATCTTTGCTGGAGATTGATAGCTAACCATCGTGGCCAGGTCGATTATATACATCAGCACAAGCACGAGGGGTGTCGCAGGATCTTAGGCTGCTTGAGAACAGAATCTCCGGAAATCATCACTTTCTTTAGACGGTTAGGTTGCGTCTGCTCGCGCTTTCTTGTCGACTCGGTTGATACAGATTGGTTAGTCCTTTGCGTTGTAACATCGGTAGGCCGGCACGAGGGTCTTCTTAAACTTCTATCATCGTTATTCGCGGTACGGTCTTCCTCATTTCGCATGGACTCATCCGCATGGACCCAACATTCACTTGACTTTGGCTGGTTGTTTTCGACTTCAATCTTTTCTTGCATAATGATGGGAATCATTCTCTTGTTCTAATGACAAAACGCGGCTCTCAAAGGTCAATGAATTTCTTCCAACTCTTTGATTGCATCGTCTTTTTTGGAAACAGAGGATAATAACGTTTCGCACCTCTTCTTGTAATCAAGGAATTCGGTACAAGAAGTATTTTCGTCTTGATATACCGCCTCCCGGTTAGCTCAATTGGTTAGAGCGCTGGACTGTTGTGCGGGAGGTCGAGGGCGATGGTTCGAGCCCCGGCCGGACCAACACTCAAGGTCTTAAAATATCTTAGGAGAATGCGCTACATTTCTATAATATTAAGAAATGGATAGACATTCTAGTCTTCTCGGATGAGGACGAATAAACCGTAGGTCCCGTCTCCTGTATCTATTAATTCCTTAATTTGGTTAGGTAGGGCACGTTAAAGAACCCACCCACGAGATTACTGTGATGTGGTCTGGCCTGTTTACCGGAAATTGGGGGTGAGGGGGCATCTTCCAATAAGTTTCCTTCGATTGTTTGAAAACTGCTGATGCAGTCCGGCCGAAGTCCCCTGAAAAGTGTTGTGATGCGCATTTGATCATATCCCCATGTTAATTTGCGCAATAGAAATATTCAATGTTATTATTATTATTATTATTATTATTATTTGGCATTAATAATGGGCAAAAGCCTTGTATTTTCTTCAACTTTTTTTTGAAGTATTAATAAATCAAGTTTTAATCCATCGATGTCGTTCACAATTTCTGGATTTGGTCGATCTTGAGTACAATTTGGCGGACTCTCATCGTCGATCAATATTCGACTATTTTGGTGACAACTCTTGGCTTCTTTTGATAGTGATGGTTCATACCAAAGGTTTAGGGACTTGCAAATCCGTTGACGCTCCCGGCTTCTTTCGTTCTAGTTCCACTTACTTGTCCCTTGAAGTAGGGCCATCGCGTCCCTGAAATTTCATAGTTCTTTGTTTCTTGTTATATAAGTTAATTGTTACATTATCGATGGAACTTTTGAATTGTTTCGTGTTTCTACCAGGCGTCAGCCACTTCCCTTGTAGTTTCATAAAATTAACCACGAAATTCATATGCGATTCCAGGTCATTCGACCACGATAACTTGTCACCATTAAAATGAAGATATTCCAGTTCACAGAATTCAGGGTTTAGCGCAGAAGACTCGGTTTTTGGGAGTACGTGAGTCATGATCATCATCAGAACCACTAACTAACCGTCCGTCCGCAGCCATTGTCTTGCGCCAAACTTCCGTTTAGTCTTAGACAGATTCATGGACAAAGTGGGAGATAAATCGACTTTTTTAACCGAAATTCAGAGGAGACTGTGTCTTGGCCGTTCGTTGAAAATTGGCCAAACTTTTCATTGTTAACCGTAAAAACCGCCACCCCATTGAGGCCCTCAATGGGGTGGCGGTATCTTGTTTTTTGTTAGTTGAAATATTTTTAAATGTACTTTTAACTTTTTTTACATCAAATTAAATTGAAATGGAATTGATGGGGAGATGGTATTATCCTTACTTCTTATCAAAAATTCAACGTCATCAGTTCTTTTTCTGAGAAATTATAACGATTATGATTAATTGGTAATGAAACTTCGAGTCGTCCAATTCGATCTGTAGCCATGTTCGTGATTGACAATCGGACTCCCGCTTCATGTTCGTCAGAATTTGTTAATCATTTGTATGATTACAGATCCAATTGGACTCCAGTCGATCCCAATTAATTATGCATAGTCAATGACCGGGAAAAATTATATCTCTTTTGCCAGGCACTGTCCTTAAGACTGAAATATGGAATAAAATATTTATTTTGTTTCTTTTTGAAAGGGTGCCAATAACGGTAGGAAATAAGTGACTGAATTGTAGGCTTGGTTGTATTTCGGTTAGTTTGGTAGTTTTTGTTAGTTTTGATCTTATTGCGAATTTGAAATAAGCAAAGTATAGGCGTTCAGAAGGTGTTGCGTGAGCTCAACGACGCGGATGTTGTAAGAGACAGGACGAATGGCTTTTTTTGGTGATTAAACGCTATTAACGCCTTCACATGCAGAAATAAGAGTATCTGTTATTAACCTTGAAGAATTATTCTTTTAC